AGAGAGAGACAGAGAGAGAGAGACAGCGAGAGGGACAGAGAGAGAGAGAGAGAGAGACAGAGAGAGAGAGAGGGAGAGAGAGAGAGAGGGCAAGAGCAAGAGACAGAGAGAGATAGTGAGAGAAAACAGAGAGATAGAGTGAGAGCAAAAGAGAGATATTAATAGAGTGAGAGAGAAAGCCCGATGCAGGTATGCTAGGACATACTGATACCTGTAGGATACCATGATAAGTTTATACTAGTACTCTTTTCTTATCGGCAATGTTACTCAAGTAGACTACGTGCCTGTGCTCTGCCAGGGGCTGTCGAAGTGGATGACGTGCGTGGCAGCCGTCAGATTTAGCCCAACTCCACCTGCCTCCGGCAAGAGGCAGGCGACCCCGGACTGAAAGAAACTGGTTATTTGTAACAATGCTTCCGATAAGCTCTTCGTAGGATGTCTTGACATTGATAGATGTCACTGCAGAGTTTCGTGATTTGAACGAACATGTTGGAGTTTTGAGGCTACGGGCCTCGATGGTCTGTAGAGATCACAATGCCTTGGACGCAGCTTTTTGAGCCCAACTTCCCGCATAGTCCTTCCAAGGCACATCTGATATCTAGCAAATCAACCCCGATTCTGAACAGCCGGCGGCCTGGAGGCTGAGGATGAGCACGGAGACGGCCGGGTCGTTCTGGAAGGCATCAACTGCCTGCGAGGAGATGGGAAGAAGACAGAAGAGGAGGGGATGAAGCTTGAAGTTGCTGAACCCGGGAAGATGACGAGGACAAGGCCGAAGATGGCGAGCATATGCGAGCATGGTGCTGCTGCTGCTGCTGCTGCTGCTGGTGATGAGAGCATGCTGGCAGCTAGCGGCATGCTGGTTGTGATGACACGTGCTGCGACCTTTGAAGCATGCCAGCATGCGATAGCACTCAGGTGTGGGCGCAATTATTGTCGTCATCGTCGTCACAATGCCTGACGCACCACCTAGGTAATTCCACAAAGTTTCGTACTGCTAGAATATGTGGTTCAGTGTTGTTGTATTTCGGAATACCCTGTATTGTCGGCATACCTGTCAGAAGTACCTCAGCAGGTGAGTTCCGTTCCCACCGCGACCACTGGCATCACCAGAAGTCCCTGTCTGCAGCTTAACTGTATCTCTCCTCGTCGTGGCTGCTACTTCTGCTGCTTTTTGTTGTTGGGCATTCTGCCGACACGACCGTTTTTGCTAAAAACCTGCTACTGACCTAAGGTATTGAACACCTGCGATTTGGGCACTTGGTCGGGAATTTATGTGAAGGTGGTGGTGCAGCTGCTGGATCGGCAAGGGTGTGCGCACCTGGCTGCAAGTGCTTGAGGTCTCGCAACGAGTTGGCTGCTTAGCTTCTGCTACGGAGCCCCCTCTCAAAAGTTAAGGCGTCCCACGCCAAAACTTCGATGACAGCAGGCGCTCAGCCTCCAATTCTCAACTCAGGCTTCTTCATCACTTCTTCTCACTCTGGACTTCTCCCGCTACGTTTGCACAATTCCCTTTATCCTCGGGATTGTTTCGAGATCCGTTCCTCGACCAGGGCAATACTTGCCTTGGGGTCTGGGTGCAGTGCGGAAGTTGGAACGTCTTCGGGCAAGACTAGCCGACTAGCCGTGCATCTTGAGGTCAAACCTGACTGGCAATTCTCCCCCGGGTCCCGAATGGCATGGGCACACACCCCGCATCGAATGCTCAGCACCCTGAGATCGCGTAGAGCCAAGGCCTCTTGTCGCTGATCTTTGTCCATATCGCCAACAATCGTCTTCACCTGGACCACACGACACACTAGACGTTCTAGAAAGGTCCTCCTGAAAACTTTCTCTCTCTGAAAACATGTCCAGGGCGGGTGGCGGTTGTAAGAACACTTTAACACTCACTCAGCGCAGAGAAAACTAGTAAGGCTCATCTAACACCTGCACAGGTCACTGCATGCAGTAGCCTGGATGGACATTTGGTCTTTGGCTTTGTTTGAAAAATTCCGACACAGGAGCTCTGGGATTGGGTGCTAGGGCCCATGGGTCCTTTACCACTCGCAACTCTGAAGCTCCAAGAGATCTAGCGGTTCAGGGTCCATGAGCTGCTGGGACCCTAGGGGTTTAGGGATGTATGACTTAAGGGTTTCGCATTTAGGCTTAGGGCTATGGGATTTACACCGAAGTCAAGGACCCTAAGCTCTGGGATCCGAGACTGTCGCGAGGATTCGTAAAGTTTTACGCAATGCAACTCTCTCCACTTGCGATTTCATGCGGGCCGTCGGCCGCTGCCGACAGGTGCGGGAGAGTTCTTCTACGCCCCGTGCACAGCCGACTGAAACAGATGAATAGTTGAATAATTGTAGAATCGCTAAGCAGACTCAGAAGGATCTGGTCATGAGCGGGTTGTTGATGGAGGCGCATGCTAGAACAACTCCCCCGCATGACCTCTCAGGAAGTCGTTGAGAAGATATGGAAAGCGACTTTCGGCGCGGCACTGTCCGTGCGGTCTACCCCCAAGCCTAGCCCGGACTGTTGAATACGGAAGCCTGCGAGTCCCTTGGTTCATCGCCCTAAGATTTTCAACAAACCCGGGTGCAAGTGCCTCACCGATTCAGTCGAACTGACCACCCATGCAAAGATGGCCAGTGCTCGATTCGTTTAAAGACCTGCCTGGCCGTGCCTCCAGCCACAGCAAAGCGGCAGGCATAAAATATCGAAAATATCTAGCTTGGGGGCGTTTTCAAGATTGCAGTCCTTCTGGTAGTTGCTTATAGCTGTCTGTGTGTAACCTATCCACGAAAGCACCTTAGAAGATGCCAGGACCACTCATCTTCAGAACACCATTTAGGACCCCGCCTCTCCACACAACGAAAGATCCCATGTCTCTCCATAAGCCTCAACAACAAGCCTTCAAGCCTTGTAACATATCCTCAAAAAACCTGCGAAGGGAGGTCACGGGGAACCTTGTTCATGGAACAACCGCCCAATTGGGCACAAAATTGGAATGCTATAAGCGGTCATAAGCCCATATCATCCGGCATCTTCTTGATGCAAGTGGACGACGCCATTGAGGCGACTGGGCCAACTGACACGTTGAAAAGCTACCGTCTACCGACCCTCCGCAAACTGAGGAAAGCACACCAACCTAAGGTCAAAGGCACCCTCTGCTAGTAGGAAGCTGGTAAGCACCAAATATCGAACCCGACATCGTCGGAATTGCACTTGTCTCTACACAAGGCAGGCATTCCGAAGCCTTTAAAAACTATATGTTGACATGCTCTGCACCCCTCCCCCAACGTGCTCTGGCCGCGGGGGATGGGGCGTGGCCCGGCTCCTCTCGTGGAAGATCGTACCTGGAAGTCCGGGGGGGGCCGCAGACCCCGCAGGAAAGCTCTGGGGTTTTGCTGCTGCCCTTCGAAGTAGCCGAGCTGTAGCAATAACTAGCAAAGCTGGTCCTGGTCGTCACCAAAAGCTGTAGCATTAGCCGTCGTCGTCGTAGCAGTAGTACTACGAAGAAGAACAACAAAACCTGCACCACAACATGCTCAAAGGCAGGAAACTCCTTGGAGTGAACAAGCCACCTTTTGTGACATGTGAAACAGCAGCAATATAGTATTGAGAAATGCCTTTGGCGGGGCAACCCACAAATTTCAGCATTTGGAGCCGGCTGGCTTCCCTAACAGGCCTTGAACCCTGCACCATGCGCAGCCAGGATGCAAGCGACGAGCCAGGCTATCTTCGCAAAATGAAACTTTGCCGGGCTCGGGCAAAATCCTTGGCTGATCGCGCAACCTGGAAGTTCGAATTCTGGCTTAAGGTTCCGGGTTGCGGTGTTAGATCTCACAAAAAAGCATGCATATCCTCCGTAGAATGAAGGTCATGCTTCGGTTTCGGTTTCGATGACAAGGCAAACACCGGAGGGATACAGACATAGGAAAAAGCCGTCGGGATGCCCATGTCCCCTGATCTAACTGTAAGTCATGGCTTCAACTCTCCAAACTATTGCCACATATCTACCGGAGACCTAAGCCTTGAAGCTTGCAGGCCTTAGTTCAAGCACACTGAACCGACAGGACCACAATTCACAAGCCCGAGACACGAAGACGGCTCACTGCTGCGACCGGGCCGCACATCCACAACCATGGGCTCTGCAGGCCCTGACTCTTCCTTCCGCGGCCCGAATCAATCGGTTTTTTTGACTTGTTGGTTTGAGGTTTGCCGTTGACGGCTAGCTTGAGATTTATGACCAGGCCAGGCTTTCAGCATCACTTCTGGCTTGGGAGTGTGACGTTCTCGTGGCTCCTGAGGCTGTGCACGGGGGCCGGTGCCGAGGCTTGCGATGAAGCCGCTCCGAACGTCTTCCAGCTGCTGCCTCGCATGTGCAGGTTCCTTTGATTTGGATTTTGGGCTGCATTTTTCTTCGAAGGGTGTTCATGGTCCATGGCCTTTGTCATGTAGGCCTTGGGAGGGCTTCGGCTCGCATGACAAACCCAAGCTCTGAAAGCAGCACAAGCTGCTGTTTTGACCATCCCCGACTCCTTACAAGCCTCGATCCCGGTATCCACGCCTGAGGTTTGCCATCAAGGCATCTAACTCCCGGATACTCTCGTCGAAGCCGGCCGTGACACACGGGGATGCTGTCGAGCTCCTGAGAATGTTGAGCCACTTCGCGCCAGAAGTCACATGTTGAAACAGCAAGGTCTGCTGGATTTGCCTGTATGCTCAAAGAGTCTTATAGCGTCACAGGCCATCACAGATCCCGAAGATGTGGATGAGCACGAGTATGAGCATGGGTGGTTGGAAATAACGTTGTTTCTTCCGGTCGCCAGAAAGGCTGCTTCTGTGAACATGGCCATTGTGGTGACCATATTACATGCTGTTGACGATGGCCACGACGTAACAGATACATGAAAGAGAACACCAAAGACGATGATGCTGACGATCATCTGTTGACGGCGATATGACACTGGGGATGGTGGGGAAGATGAAGCTGAAACTGAAGCCGAAGCTGGACGCGAAGCTGAAGTTTGGAGGTGAAGGTGAAGAAGGCGATGAAGATAAAGATGCTGCTGGTTCCTCTGACCGTTGACTGGCAACTGGACTGGCGGTCATGGAAATGACTTTCCGCCGCTGTGAGAAAGGAGCGCATGAAAACGAAGATGTTGGGATGTCAGGTTCAGCACCCAGACCCTGAAATCTCAGGAGATCGGCTATGCTTGACTCCGCCTTCATTATGTCGTCTCCGGGTAGAGACACCGGAAGCCTAAACCCTGCATCAAAGCAAAGGCTCCCGTCCCCAGACTCCAGAGTCGCCCCAGCCCTCTGCGGGGCTTCCATGGCTATCCTGGGATCTTCTCAAGGAGGCATCCGGTTGATGATAAAAATCCTGCATTACCCATAATAAGGAATATACCATAATTCCCGTAGTTTCGGGTCCCAAGGTCATGCAGGATTTAGATCATCAACAGTATCTTAGCCCCTCCTAGCGTTTTTTATGGTGCCTTTTCGGGCCTGCTTAGGTTCGAATACGGGAGCCCAGACTCGAGTTCTTCGCTCTCCGGCTCCGGTCGCTGGCACCAGACATGCTCGAAGCCTCGGAGGTGTAGGCGTCGGAGCCCAGGGAGCCCTCGAAGTCTTTCGCCTGGCTGAGGCTCTTGGCCATCTTGTCTAAGTTCTTGCTGATAGACTTGATGTGCTTCTGCATCTGTCTCTGGTTCACGGAAAGGTTCCGCACCTGAGAGATCACTGGAAGAGGGATTTCATGAGATTGGAATCTAAGCGAGCTACGCGGCGTGGACCTGTCAGACCCAAATGGTGGGCAATACAGAGACTTCATGCAGCGGTGTAAAAGGTACAAAGATCTTTGGAGAGGGCGTGCAGCAGTCTGCAGGGCTTAAGGCGAAGTTTCAACATGTCAAAGCTTGGCACACGATCACATATCCGTCTTCAAAGCCTGTGCAGGACGGCTTGTCAAAGCTTTGCATGGCAGAATGCAACCTCGAAGCCACTGCCAGAAGCCGGTCTGACCCCGCAGAAACAACGGCCAAGAAATGCCGCCAACCAAAACAACAAGGCCAGAGCCCAAAGCCCCGACAGCAACTTCCCAAATCCAACTTTTGCAATTCACTCCCCAACTCAAACCTAAGCCCCAGAAGGCCAAGCGCCATGTATTTGACGAAGTGGTTGGCGGTCTTCGACTCGCGCATCCTCCACCGATTTCAACATTGACTTGGGTAGCGTGGTAACAGCATGAGGAATCATTGTCGCCTTCGCCATCACAGTCATCATGGTCAGTGCCATGAGCATCCGGAATGCATCAATGACCAATCAACAGAATCAGCGCCATGACGACGATCCTTATGACAATGACCTCCACTATCATTAGCGCCCGCACGGGCGTCGTCGTGACAGTGGCTGCCGCAAATCTCGCAGAAACTCAGCTCCTACTTCCAATGCCCACAGAGGATCTGTGTGCAATCGGTTTTATACATCGAGCCTCACGTAAGCCTTTCATGCCCTGGCCCTGAACTCTAAACGGAGAAGAGGCCAAGCCCGACGACTGAAAGGCGCAAAAGCTTGGTCCGAAACCCTTAGCGGGGAGGAGGCTCTTGAAGAAACCTGACATGCTTCAAAAGCTCGGAACTCTGAAGCTTAGGATGTTTCGAACTGATGATGTATGTTTGCGAGATGCAGCCTTCCGACTGCTTCGGGCATGGGTTGCAAATAAATGGCTCTGCGTCTTTGCGTCGGGTCCCTATAAACCGGCGTTCTTCGGTATGCCGGATGTTTTGTTGGGGGATACACGTTCTGTCCTTCTTCGTGTATGGGCATCCCCCTATAACATGCAAAGACATCGACGGCGGTTGTTGAGCGACAGGAAAAGCGCAGCCACTGCTCTGTTGATTGCTATCATGACTCGTGGTTAAGCTGTATGTTCAACCCCCCAGGGGTGTCCAGCGGCTGAGCGCCAAAGTGAACTCATCAGGACTGATGGACCCGGAGTGATCCTCCTGGGCTTCGGCTTCTCGGTGCTTGTCGGGTAAAAGGTTGAGATTGGGGGTTTTGACTCACACACTCGCACTCAGCAGGCATGGCAGGGGGCTTTGGGGCACTAGCGTTTCAACGTGATTCCGCTCTGACGACTCGCCCGAGGCAGGCAATGATCCACGTTCCGTTTAGGGTGAAGGCTTAGGGCGGTTAGGGTCTAAGGTGGTAGGAGTTAATGTCAAGAGTTCAAGAAGTACAAACCCCTGAGATCAGAGCCCAGACCGAAAACGCTGTTGATCGAGAAGACATGTGGGCCCGCAAGCCAGAACACAAATGCTTCTGGTGTCCGGCGTTGTTTTGCCAAAGCCCTTTGAGTCCAAGCGTCATCCAGCATGTGGAACAGCTGCTCCAGATCCACCGCGTCGATGTCCATGACCCGCAAGCGATTCTGGAATTCCGCGTCCTGCATGACTCTTGCAGTCTCGTTTTTATTCGACCCTAGTCACGATCATCATCATCATCATCAACATCATCATCATCATGATACACATGCTGCCATCCTTCCTGCTGTTTTCTGCTTTGCCTAGCAGTCTGTTACATTTGTTGTGGCCATGGGGGGCGCGGACGATGACTATTGCTGGTGTTGCTGTTGCTCGTCCGCCTCCCTCTGCCTCCTGCTACGACGACAACAATTACCCTTCTTGTGTCCAGATAGTTCTGTCATATTGACGTGTGGCTGCCGCCGCGTTTCCCGTCTTGGTGAAGCACTTTGTATTCAATATTCGCTTCCCTCCGGCAAGGATCATGTTCCGTGGCCTTGGGCAGAAGTTGTGGCTTCAGACGTGTCGGGTCTAGGTCGTCGCAAATCCAAAGGCAGGATTGGTCTGGCTGCGTTCATCTGCCTGCTCATCAAACTTTAGCTCGATGCAAGGCCCTAACGATCACGGGATCCTGGGACTGACCTGTGCCCCGCTGCGCTCCCTGAGGCACTTGAGGCCAGACTCTTGAACCTTCAAACCCCAGGCAAAGCCCACATAATCCTAAATTATCATAAGACAAACTATGATTCGAGAGGGATCCGATGACAATCACCAAGCAATCCGACCTTGCCTTCTCTGCCCCCTGAAGCAGCTCTGACAGAGAGAGCTCACCATCCCCGTTTGCATCCACTTTCCTGAGCTGGCCGCTGCTTTGTGCTCTTTCCGGTCTCAGTGAGATTCACGGTAAGGCTTCAAGCAATTTTGCTTTACGGTCCTTTATAGCTCCCCGCTCGCTGGCACAGGAGCCTGGCACGAATCTTCTGGAAAAATTGGTTTCCTAGCCCACTCCATGTTTGCAACTCCAGCCTGGCAACAACTCCACGTTGCTTTTCCGATCTGTTCCTTTCCCTGAGAAGCCAGTTCAGACTGGTTCACCTGTCCCTGGAAGCACCTGCACCTCAACGCCTTCAGACTCTACCCCTTGATTGCGACTCCAGCATTCAAGGCAGGCACCCCTGCAATGCTCAGTGTGCAGGAGTAGTACGATGCCGCAGAGGCGAGCTACATACAAAGGGTAGCTTACACCTTTTCATCTGGACTGCCGCATCTCAAACCTCTGCCGTAGTGATTGAAACGAGAAGCGCACGCAGAGTCACCTCTAAGCAACGTATCCTCGTGGAAACAGTCCGTTTCCCTGACCCTAGACCCTGGTTCCCGAAAGCCGGAGGAAAGAAAGCCCGAAGTCTTCATTTCTTCTGAAGTCCAAAGCAAGAAGCCCAAGTCCTGAACCCTGGAACACCAAGCCAACTCAGCCCTGAACTCTGTCTAGAAGCCACAGGCGCGGAATGCGTAAGCGTTTAATCCAAAACCCTACGGCGTACATCATAAACCTGCTCAAATGATGCTTCGTGGCTTGAACATTTGCCCCAAATGCCTCGGCAAGGGAGAGCAGCACCAGCTGGCGGTCTACCGACAGGGAAGTAGGTAGGGTGAGCTTCCGGGCATAAGGGTTCGCACAACTGTAGGAGGGGGCTTGTTAATCCGAAGTCTAGAGTAGTGGCAACAAGGCAAGAAGATCAGCAACGGCACGTGTAAGAAGTAAGAAGTCCTGCAACCTTGAAGCTGTGCAGTAGGGAAGCCGTCTTGACCGGACCCTGCGACCAAACCCATGTTCATAGGCCATAAGCATGCCTCCCACTTTTCTCTACGAACATCTGGGGGGGTGCTAAGATAGTCCGGAGGCTTCAGATCCTCCTCCAGCTCGTAATCCAAATCTGCAGCCAAGGTCGTGATGTCCTTCTCCCTCTGCTCCATGGCTGCATCAACGATGACCTGAAACAGCTGGCGGTCTCCCCACATGCCATGGACGCCTTCATGAAAAAAGATAAGTCAGGTCACTGCCACGACCAGGTTCAATATGCCGTACATGACGGAAACCAGCGCACCCACGAAGATCGCAGCTGTATAAGGCTGCCTACGGATCACGGGCATGGCCACTTTGCCCCAGCTATCCCCTGCCAGCATTGTCTGTAGAAATGTGAGGTTTGACTGCAGGATCGTGGCAAATGCATCTTTGCATTCTTTGCAGTCGTCGAACTCACCTTCAGTCGCCAGATCTTGCAGGACTGGGTTCACGAGCTCGACTGCCACCATGGACCACAAGGTTGTGGCGATAAAGCAGAAAAGAAAGGACCACGCAAGCGTGCGGATAACGCTAGCAAACATCCTCGCTTGTCCACAGGGATCGCACACCCACGTTTTTCCAATGTGTAGTGCACTACTCTAAACCCTTACCAGGAACCCCAAAATTTATCCGAGGATCATCATGAGTTTGCGCAGCTCCCGAAGCGAGGGTGACTTCCGAATGAAGCGGATGAGCCGCATGATCCTGGCTATCCGCAGCAGCTTGAAAACTCGGACCTCTTCGGCAGTGCTTCCTTAGATGCTGATGCGTCTTTCACGGAATCAGCACGGAGTTCGCCCGTGAGAGTTTAGAGTCTGCTGTGTCCGGTTGAAGTGTCTCAACTAGGAAGTGCTGGGGGCAGGCACCAGACAGTGTAGGGTACTTAGAATAGAAGCAGGCACAAGTTGCAATGTTCTTGTTTGCTGCTCTTGACCCTTCTCATTGCTGTACACGGACCAGTGCACGAAAAGCCAAGCTTCCCATGAGGAGGAACGCGATCTCTATGATCGAGGCAATGACGATACTAGCATCGATCCACCAGTCAAGTGTCCTCAGCACCTGCCACCGGCCGACGAAGACATGCCAAAACCTTGGTTGGTTGGTTGTAGCATGCTATATATAATATATAACATAATATAGTATGATCAGTACAGTGTAGTACAGTGTTATCGTATAGGGACGCTGGGTTCAAAACCTCGCCGTCTCCGAAAGCCGAGCAGATGGAGGTTCAGCCCGAAGCGGGCAAGAGGGGCCTGGTTGAATTCTTTGTATCCATGGCCTGGCGTTGTTTCCACTGGGCCGGATAGTTCGGTACCAAACGGACCGGAAAAGCGGAACTGAAGAGCATCCAAAGCACAACTCTAGGACATAGAAAGCCAGGCAGACCTGACAGACCAAGAAAGCCCAGGTCGGTGCTGGCGCACCACCAGCACGGAGATCAATATCGACACAGGCCAATGCGAGATCGATCGAGACCACAAAGCCGGAGAAGAGATCCTTGGCTCGCAAGGGCTTGGCGGGTTGAAAGATTCCTGCGCAGAGTTTAGACTAAAAGTGATCCTGCGGGTCCAGATTCTCAGAACTGTTAATGTTGATGTACGAAAAACAATTAAACAACGAAAACAGACCAAGCCAACCGAAGGATCCATATATTTGGAGTGCAGGCACTTCCTGGCTCGCTTCTTCGCGTTCGTGAACGCTGGGCTGCCAGTAAACTCGTCTGAGGACATTCTTCGCTTGATAGCGGTCTTGATGTACTGCGATGGGCCTCCCTTGTAATGCACCGTTTCCTGCAGCTTCTGCGAACGCACATGTGACAAGCGTCCGCATGTGGAGCTTATTCCCTCCAGAGTCGTGTCCATGTAAACACATGGACAACATGAACGAATTCAGTCATTTGTACTAATTCTGGTGCTATTGCTAGAACTAATACTAAAACGAGTGCTAGTGCTAGAGCTAGTGCTAGTCGCCGTCGTCGTGGTGGTGGCGGTGGCGGCGGTGGTGCCGCAGCAGCAAGTGTAGCAGTAGCTGCAGCTGTAGCAGTAGCAAGTAGTAGTAGCAGTAGTAGTAGTAGTAGTAGTAGTAGTCGTAGTAGTCGTAGTAGTAGTAGCAGGAGTAGTAG